ATAGTTTATTGACGAGCAAAAGAAGAACGAAGACGAAGATGCGATAAAGATTTAGAATTGGGACCTCCAGACCGATCTGAGGAGTCAATCAGATCTAGGAAAGGCAAGATTCAGGAAAGGAAAAAACTAGGGGCAGAGGGGAAACGACGACAACCGTCTAGGCGAGGTGGAGTGAGTTTGAATGATCACAACGGGCGTACGAGGTGGTCCTGCTCTGGCCCCACTAATCTAATCCCAGGCCCCGCCCCTTTACATCCTGGGAAGACGATTAGGTGGAGACAGTACAAAGAAGAGGTAGAATGAAAAAGGACCCTCCTAGGCCGCTCTTTTAACTCAAAAGGAGGCCAACAGATAGGCGTTACTATTGTTACAAAGAGACGGTTCTAATCCCTAGTTGTCATGCTGTCAACGAGTTGATTGGTTACGAGAAGATATTCTGGTGTAACAGATAGATGTGATATTCATGGATCAAAACCAAGAGACTTAAGTAGATGTAGTTAAACAAGTATATTTATTAACCTATTAAAAATTCAAAAAAGGAAAAATTCAAACAAAAAAATCAACGCTGGCATCACCCTTATCATTAGTCTCAAACAGAAATGGGTGCCTCAAAGCTTGCTTTGCCGTGAGTCTCTTCTTTGGATCCAGCTTCAGAAGTTGATTCAAGAAGTCACAGAATGACTCAGCTTCCCGTCTTGTCATCAGACTCTTGTCCAGAATGTTGTCCACTGAGATGCTGGGGGTCTCCGACATCCCCCGTTGGAATTCTTTCTTTTTTCCGAAAACCTTTCGGAAAATCCTTCCGTTCAATCTTGTTGTTGTGTATAACTCCGCCGGAATAGGGCCGAGTTCCGCGGAGATTTTTCCCAAATGGTCCAACCTCTCATCCACATTCCCATCATGGTTACATGGGAACAAGACGTATTGGGTGGCCATTTGGTAAGCCACACATCCAACACTCCACAAGTCAATGGCCGGAGTGATTTCGGCTTGGACATGAGCCTCTGGTGCCCTGTACGGGCACGTCTGGACAAGACGTGTCACATTGTCCGTTTTGAAAGCGGAGATTCCAAAATCTCCTATCTTAAGGGAAGCTGTGCATGTTGGGTCTCTCAGATCAATACTGAATGAGGTCTGCTGGGCTTCATCTTGATCAATTGAGATCATGAGGTTGGCTGGCTTCAAATCACAGTGAATGATGCCGCACACATTGTGACTGTAGTCCAGTCCTCTCAAAATATCTCTACAGAACTTTCGTACCCGATCAGTGGTCAAGTACTTCTGATTGGATCTGTAGAGAATTTGGTTGAGAGTTGGACCCAACATCTCAAACACCAGCACGTGGTGCTTGCCGTCCCGCTCATTCACGGTGAACTCATCCAGAAGATTCACACAGTCCGGTGATCCACGGACAAACATTGTGTATCGAATCTCCTCCGTGGAGTTGAGATTGTCGTACTCCCCACATTTGGCAATTTTAAGCGCCACCGTCTGCTTAGTGTACATGTTCTCTGCCATGTAGACAGCGGCATATGAGCCAGCACCGAGCCGCTTGATCACTTGGTATCGGCCTCCGAAGATTTCGCCTTCCTCCAGTTCGAGATACCCGTTTTTTCCATAGTCCAACTTCTGGTCGGATTGGCTGGCGGGCTCGTAGATGGTCTGGAAAAGGGGGTACAGTTTATTGGAGAGTTTTCTTTTATGAGGGGGGGGGGTAATGGTTGCTTAGTTCCCCTTCGACTCCAGATGGGTCGAAGACATAGAAAAATAGGCGCAGGACGCCTCAAGTAGCCCAAGCTTAAACCATCCTTAACCTGAAAAGAGTCCCCGAATTCCCATTTTCCTATACTTAGTTTACGGTAACTCACCAGTTGCACGTTGCTCCGTCTCTTCGCAATTGGTGCTTGGTCATCCTCAGAATTTGGTCTCTTACGAGACTCCACTGGGCTCTCAGCCACATCCTTGGTGCCCTGTTTGGCTGGCGCCTGGTTCTCCTGGTTCTCTCGGTCAATCTATAAATTAGTAAAAATTAGGTCAAGGTTTGACAAAAATTGGCTGAAAAAACTCACTTGTTCGATGGATCCGGTGCAGGAATATTGAGAAATAACAGCGCTCATCTTTGAAGTTGATGTGGTTGGGTGTTGAGTTGACTGAAAAACCGAATAATTTAGTACGGATACTGGAGAGTTAAGGAAGAGAAAAAAAACGTTGAAGACTCAGAATTGGATCACAAAACAGTCTGAGACCAGAGTCTCAGAAGGAAAAACGAGGGGTAGAGGGGGAACGAAGACAACCACCTAGATGAGGTGGAGTGAGTTAAAATGAACACAACGGGAGACGAGGTGGTTCTGCTCGTATCGATCACACTGGCCCCACTAATCCCAGGCCCCGCCCCTTTCCACCCTGAGATGACGACGAGGGGAGACTGTACAACGGAGGGGTATAGAGGATGGACTAGCTACACTGCTCCCTTGCCTCAAAGGGCCAACAGATAGGCGTTGCTATTGTTACAAAGAGACAGTTTTAATCTCTAGCTGTCATGTTGTCAACGAGATGATTGGTTACGAGAAGATATTCTGGGTTGTTATGTTTGGGCAATACGGGGGGATGAGCAACAGGGAGGTAGAAACAAAAGATATGGGATTTTAGAGGCAAATTGAATACTGTAAATGCTGTAATAGAGACCCGCCCAGTACAACCTATCTTTTTTCCAGACCTGATGTCCCATCGTGACCAACTGGAACCCCTTCGCGCCTTCAACTTCGATGTTGCCTTCAGTGAACAACTTGACCTATGTGGTGTTGGAGTGATTCGCTATCTTGGAATCCAAAACCATCTTTGGATCTCTACAACTCCTATCATGGATTCAGTCTCCTACAACCTCGGAATCCCGGCACCTAGCTCATATGTCCCAACGATTGAGGAGAACGATAATAATGATGTGATGGATTTCTGGCAGAGAGCTGAGAATTTGTATTTGAGTTCTGGAACAGTTATCGTGCATAAACTAGCTACAGATAGGTTGACAGGGGTAAGAGACGCAGACAGGTAGACACCCTAGTTTCTCTATGCTTCCAGATCTTCCGAAAATATATTCCGGACTTTCCAAATGTCAGGGAGATTGCTGCAAACTCTTCGCTTTGTTTTGTGAATACTGATGAGGTGCTGGATCTCCAGAGACCAACTATCACCAAAACTATCTATGTTGGAGGGCTGGGAGTTTCGGATAAAACGAAACCATTGGATGAGGTAAATTATATATCGTAGCAAATCTCAGTTGTCTTTGGAGCTATCAAAAATGTTCAACTAATAAACTGTTTGAAATGTCCTGTTGGACATTTTATTAGTTGATCACTTTTTGATAGCTTCCAAGGCCACCGAGATATGCTGCTTTTACAAATGAGTGAAGTCGTAAAGGTCCTTGTTTTCAGAAATTCCAAAAAATCATGTCCAAAGGAAAGAAGGGTGTTGTGATAGTGTCCTTAGGATCGATTGTCCCATTCAGTGACCTCAAATTGAATGTGAAGAAAGAAGTTCTCGAGGCGATCAAAGAGATCAGTGATTATCACTTCCTGATCAAAATTGCAAAGAGTAAGTGCGGCTAACCGGTTATAGATGTTGTAAGCAGCATATCTCAGTTGTCTTCGAAGCTAGGAAAAATTTTCAACTAGTAAAATGTTCAAAACAATTTGCTTGACATTTCTCTAATTGACCACTTTTTGATAGCTTCACTGACAACCGAGATATACTGCTGTGAACACTGAGCTACAGGCTTCATGGTATATGTAGATCTGTTTATCCGGATGTCCTTCAATTCCAGACGACACCTCAACTCTCCCTCTCATCACCGACATCCCCAACGTTGATCTGGTTGACTGGATCCCTCAAGTTGACCTTCTCTCCCACCCCCGACTCCAACTCTTTGTGATGCATGGTGGAATCAACGGCCTGGTGGAGACCGCTCTAAAAGCAGTGCCAACTGTCATTATTCCAATTTTTGCTGACCAATTTAGAAATGGAAGAATGGTGGAGAAACGGGGAATTGGGAAAGTTCTACCGAAACTGAAAATTGGAAAGGACAGCTTCAAATCGGCAGTTTTGGAAGTCCTGGAGACTCCGAGCTACAAGAAAAATGCAGTGAGAATTGCAAAAATGATGAGAGAGAAGCCATTTTCTCCGGAGGAACGGCTTACAAAATGGACCCAATTCGCAATTGACCATGGGGTTTTGGAGGAATTCCACGTGGAAGGATCAAGGCTCAACTTTTTGGTTTATTATAATTTGGACGTTATTGGAGTGGCTCTAGCTATACTCTTGTTTGTTTTATATGTGGTATTGAGGATTGTAAAGGTGTTGTTGAGGCTGAAGGGTTTGATAGGGAAACATGTAGAAAGCAATAAGAAAAACAACTGATTTTTGTGTTTTGATTTGTGTTTTTCAATAAAAATAGAGTGTTTTCCGAGAATGTAACAGCTCCCGTTATTTTCATAAATGTGAACTTCATGGAAAACTATAATTAAAGGTATAATTTCCTTGTTCAAACTTCACATGTTTCTTAAATAGCAATCTTAAATTTTTGATGGAGTTGGTATGAAATTCTGACTTCTGAATTTATTGGACACCCGCAACTGCCTTTTAACAGAAATTGACAACAAACACCGAACATTAAAAACAATTTTTGGTCAACCACAGCCCTACATTAAAGCTGTTTTCAAATCACGCTTTTTCCTCTCTCGTTGTTTAGGAAATCGAGTTTTCCCCCGCTTCCTATAATGATTGTCAACTGGGTTCACTACACCATCCCCAAAGTGTCATTTGTCTTATCTTTCATCTCCAATCCACTTTTTATTTATTTGATCTACACCAACAAGAATATATTATTTGGAAGTTATCGATATCTTTTGGCATTTTTTGCCATATTCAACTTGCTTGCTTCAGTGGCAGATTTGTTAGTTCCTGTGGTAAGATTTTAGAAAAAAGTAAAAAGGAAAAAAATGACTTGCCCCGAACCAGGATCGAACTGGTGACCTTTATAAAGGATCTTCATCTTAGATCTTCAGTCTAACGCTCTCCCAACTGAGCTATCGAGGCGGACGGCCAGCTGCAGTCAAAAGGCGCATAGAAAAGCGGCGGCTGGGGACGCAGCGAGTGTTGCGCAAGGGCCTAGAATTCCGACCCGTTTCTAGGCCACAGTTTTATTAACACGAAAATTTCAGTCTGTATTCTGCTACCGTTATGCATTCGTCACCTTTATTGCTGATGGCCCATTTTCCACGGTAAACTGGGATTTCAGTCAGTACAAACTTTTTGTTTCAGATTTCCCAATACGGAGAATACCCACTCTCCTATAGATGCTCCTTCATATCCGGTACTTATGGAATTCTGAATGTTCACTTTGTCTTCAGATACCTCACATTGAGAAAGTGGGTCCCCAATAAATATTGGACTTGAGCTTAGAGTTTTTTTCAGCAATAACATAATCAATGAGTATTTTATGCCTTATGGACTAGTACTTTCAGTAGCATTTGTCATTTTTCATATGACTATTTGGGGATTGGTAAGTAATGTTAAAACTTGGAGAAACATAATTTTTTTCATTTCTTGGTTCAGATAGACTTCCACTGTCTCCACTCTGCTCCAGAAATGCGTGACTACATCAGAGTTCCGTTCAAAGAGCTATTGAATCAGGATATTGATGGCATCAATTTTGTAGCTGGGTTGTTTTCGGTGGGTGTATTATCTAGTATTATGGAAAACCAGCAAAACACTTTGCGCCCCATTGATGACGTCGTTTCAAAAAAAAAACTTTGCCGTGAGCATCTGCTGGCCCAATTTTTCCAGTGAATTCTCAATGGAGCGCAATATGTTCTATGTTATTTTTCTCAGCACCGATGAGCAATTTTTCCAGGAGACGACCCCATGGATTGTGGAGAGGTCATGGGCAGGGATACTGTCATTGACAGCAATTGCCTTGTATTCAATTACTCTGTATTTCGTGCTAGGGTATAAGGTAAGTTGAAGGTTGTTGGAACCACCGTAAGGCCTGCATTAGTGGTACAATTCTGGTCAGAAAGAACGCGCGTTTCGCAGTTTTCTGTTGGAGTTTTCCTGTTTTAGTCGACTTTCAGGGAGTGCCCTAAGAAGACTGTTGGTCAGAATTGAATGAAAAAAAAAACTTTTGTGTACCGTCATTCTGAACAAAAGATATCAGCCCAAAAAAAGTTCGAAAAGACACTGTTTCTGTTACGATTGCGACAAGGTTCGTACACTTTTTCTTCAACGGGCGGTATCTTATGTTCAAAATGAGTTGGGTCATTCCAGAATTCCAGAATAATTCCACCACCTAAAAAATTCCAGATCGTCACCGGCCTGAACATCAAATCTATCACAATGAGCAAACAAACTGCTCAAATGCAAAAACAACTTTTCAAAGCGTTAGCCATCCAGACAATCATTCCAGTCTGTGTCAGCTTCATACCATGTACCCTGAGTTTCTATGGAGCAGCATTGAGATGGGACTTTATGAAGTTAGTTTATTTTTTCACTCTAGGAGTGACTCTAATATAGGGGTGCCTAAAATACAATTAGTTTTTCAGCTGGGTCTACTGGGCATCTGCTGTCGCTTTGTCAATGTTCCCGTTCCTTGATCCAATGGCTATCATCTTCTTTCTACCGGCCCTCCGTCGTCGAATTTGTGTTTCAATTAGGAAAAAGAAGCACGAAATCGGAAAATCATAAGATTTCGAATTTATCAATTCTTTTTAGTTTGGGCTCGATGTCTAATAATTCTGTTTTCTTGCTCTAGGGTCCCAAGTGTATCTCTCTGATACCAAAAATTCAAAACTCTGATACCAAAAATTCAAAAAATCTAGAATAATCACTATTATTTTATAAAGAAACCTGAAATTTCGCCTCGTGCTTGATCTAAAAAAAATTCTGTAATGATTCATAAAAAAGCAGATGAAAATAAAAAACAAATGTAGTCTGTTTCAGGAATAGCTGAAAAAAATTTTCCCCGGATTTTTATTAATTCTGTATGATTTTTTTCCTACTAGAAAAGATTTTTCAAACATCAATCTCGGATTAACTTTTATTTTTTCTAAAAAAATTGTTGATTAAGCAAAAATACACACATTCTACTACACCCATTGTTTCCCATCACAATAAGATTCGCGTAATCCTCCTCATTAAAATTCTGCTGTCATGACGTTCAAAATGTTGTCTTTCAAAAAAGTTTTTTGATCAGATTTATCTCTGTGGGCGGGTATTCCTGGACTACACTTTTGTCAGAACCCGAAAGTTTTTCAAATTTTGATTTTCCTAATTCATGAAGATGTTGTGTGTTATGAACCTTCGAGTTACTCAAGCGTTTAGGGATGACGATGTCAAAATAAATAATCAAGAATTTCGGTGATGATTCTGGTGGTCTGTCAAGGTTGAAAGAGCAAAAAATGATGGCCAAAACACATTTTTGACCACTAGAGAATATTTGCCCGAAATATTAGTACGGCTCATCGCTAAATTTTAGCGGAAATTCAAAATGTATGTTTCCAAAAGTCTCAACACCTCAGTTTCGTTTCTCATCGTTTTGATGGTAAGAACTTTGAAGTCAAACTTTTTTTCATGAATAACTGATTCAAAAATCCTGTTCATTATGAGAGAAATTGTTCTAGCGGAATGTAGACTTTAGAGCACGGAAACTCTTTCAGGGAAAAAAATGAGCACAAAAGCACGTACTTCAAAAAAAATTGAAAACTAATAAAAAACACCGAAAACTAAGAAAAAAATTTTGAACATCATTTTGTGTACATAAATTAAAGATTCACATAAACTGTTGCGCTCGAAGCCTTGTAGAATCCGAAGTTGGGACAATTTTTTGATCAACATTGTAGTGCTAACTCAGCTTTGGTGTCAAAAATAATTTTTTCTGTATCAAGATTGTCAGATCACGATTTTTTTATCAGCCGTCTTGATTCTGACAGTCTTGGTCCGTCCTCCCCAATGAAGACCCAAATATTTACCCAAACAAAATATGTTTTGTTCATTGATGAGCAGAATGTTTCTTTGTTGTTGGTCAGTTGAATCATTCTAGCATGGCAATGGATTAACTGATCTGAAACCTAGTTTCAGGTTTTCGAATCCCGACCAGATTTGGTTGACTGTAACAATTCCCCACCAAATTTTTTCGAAGATAAAATATTTTCAAAAATCATCTCTCTTCTTGATCTCTGCAAAATGCCACTCTAACCACCATCATCATTCTGCAATTGAGAACTGATTCAAAAAGGTGCAATTCCCTGTTATTACTCATAAATTCCCTATTATTCATTTAAGCTTTGATGATATCCAGATGTTCAAGTGAGCATCATAACATAAGGGAATTGTCTAGTGGGGAGAGTAAAAATAGGCGGTCCGAAACGTGGATTGTACCGGAGTGGAGAGGAGGTTTCTGGGAACTTTTTTTGGTTGTAGTTGCTTGAAACAGGCAAATAACATACCACACCTTTTGTTACGTTGTCAATAGTTTTTTTTCTGTGGATCCCTCTATTTTTTCTTTTATCAATTTTTTTTCTAACCCACCATCTTCCAGGCATCTCCATAATGTACATCAACTGGGCTCACTACACCATCCCCAAAGTGTCCTTCGTCTTATCTTTCATCTCCAATCCACTTTTCATTTATTTGATCTACACCAACAAAAAAGTCTTGTTTGGAAGTTACCGGTATCTTTTGGCATTTTTTGCCATATTCAATTTGTTTGCGTCAGTGGCAGATCTATTGATTCCTGTGGTAAGATTTTGAAAGGAAAAAATTGGAAAAAAATGAATTGCCCCGAACCAGGATCGAACTGGTGACCTTTAGATCTTCAGTCTAACGCTCTCCCAACTGAGCTATCGAGGCGGGCGGCTAGCGGGGGTCGAAAGGCCTAGAGAAAAGCGCAGGTGGTAGTCGCAGTTAGTGTAATGCAAGTGGTTGTTCGATGACCTAGAAATGTACCTGACGGGTCTCTAGGCCGGATAACTGGGATTTTTATTAAACATGGCAGTATGCAGAAAGCGCTGTTAATGATGTGCGGCCTAGGATATGAATACAGTGGCTTAGAATAATCACGAGGATTTTTAGGCCAAGACATCCACGATATTATTTTTGTGAGCAAGCGGCATAAATAAGCCTCGGTCTTGTAACTCCTGTAAATATCACGACTGTAAGAGAATCATGAGTCCTGCTTGTGCTAGGTGGCCTAGATTTTCTGATAGGATCCCTAGGAAAGAAACATGTTTTATCATTTCAGTCCGTGTTCTGCTACCGCTACGCATTTGTCACCTTCATTGCTGATGGCCCTTTTTCAACGGTAAACCGGGACTCAGTCTGCAGAATCTTATTTTCTAATTTTTCAGATTTCCCAATTCGGAGAATACCCACTGTCCTATAGATGCTCCTTTATAGCCGGTACTTATGGAATTCTAAATGTTCACTTTGTTTTCAGATATCTTACTTTGAAGAAGTGAGTTTCAAGACTTTCAAATCTGAGCAATAAACTTCCAAAGTTCAGTAATCACTTTCTCAATCGATACTTCATGCCGTACGGATTGGTGTTTTCAGTCATTTATGTCATTTTTCATATGATTATTTGGGGATTAGTAAGTTTTTTTGATCGGTTCTTCGATTGTAGACAATTATCCAGATTGACTTCCACTGCCTCCACTCAGCCCCAGAGATCCGTGATTACATCCGGGTTCCATTCAAAGAGCTCTTCAATGAGAGTATTGATGACATCAATTTCGTCGCTGGCTTGTTTTGGGTAGGCTCGTCATCTTTTTTTCATAGGAGACACCTGAATAAACAGAAAATTTTTTTCAGGAAACCTCGCCAGGAATCATTGAAAGATCATGGGCAGGGATCCTACTGTTGACTGTAATCGCCAGTTATTCCATGACACTGTACTTTGTGCTTGGGTATAAGGTAGGCTGGAAACTTCTAGAACATAATTCCAGCACCTAAAAAATTCCAGATCATCACCGGCTTGAATATTGAATCAATCACGATGAGCAAACAGACTGCCCAGATGCAAAAACAACTTTTCAAAGCGT